ACACACACACAATTCATATATATATATATATATATATATATATATATATATATACACTGTATATATAAGCCCGTTTCTGCCACTGAAAAAAAAAGGTAATTGCTACTTTTTATCTTACAATTTTGACTTTTTTTCTCAGAATTCTGAGAAAATCTGAGAAATAAAGTCGCAATTCTGATATATAAAGTCAAATTGCGAGATATAAACTCAGTTCTTTCTCAGAATTGCGAGTTTATATCTCGCAATTGCAAATTTTTATCTCCAAATTCTGACTATTTCTCGCAATTGCAAGTTTATATCCCGCATTTCTGACTTTATAACTCGCAATTGTGAGTTTGTCACACAATTCTGAGAAAAAAAATCTGAATTGTGAGATGTAAACTCGCAACTGCGAAAAAAGTCAGAATTATGACATAAAAACTTGTGATTACCTTTTTATTTTTTATTCAAAGGTGGAAACGGGCTTCCAAAATATTGTAAAATATTATTACAGTTTAAAAATTGTGTCTTTAAAATAAAAAGATTATTTGAATACATTTAAACAAGTAATTTATTCCTGTGATCAAAGCTGAATATTCAGCGTCATTACTCCAGTCTTCAGTGTCACATGATCCTTCAGAAATCATTCTAATATGCTGATTTGCTTAATATTTCTGTGGAAACTGTGATATATATATATATATATATATATAGGATTCTTTGATGAATAGGAAGCTCAAAAGCATTTATTCGAAATAGAAATCTTTTGTAACATTATAAATGTCTGAACTGTCACATTTGCCCATTTTACTGCATCCTTGCTGAATAAAACTATTAATTTCTTTCAAAAATAAATGTTGTTTGTGTAGTAGCCTATCAATCCAAATGTGTTAATGAGTAGTTCTGTACTTCAGCTAGTGACATTTGAGGGACAGTGGCAAAGGTTAAGCTAGACTCAAGGTTATACATTGCTAATAATGGTAATGGAATGTTTACTTTCACTCGACATGACCAAGAGTCTTCGATTTCTTGACATTCATGGCTAATGGCTCACTTCAGCAACTTTACTGTTACTAGCTCTGAGCTTTAGCCACGGCACTACAACACCTAGCTGGTCTTGCTAAAATGTGTCTCTGAATCATTGTCACAAGTAGCAATTACATTGTTCACAAGCATGACATTAGCACAGTGGTTTTCAAAGTAGAATATCTCTCACAGTATCAAGCTAAGTAGCAGCATAGCATGACAAAACTGTTTTAAAGAGCCATTACACAGCATCGATTCAGTGTACAGAGCAGCTGTTAAACAGATCTACCAAGCTGTCCATTACACATATTT